TTCCAGCCGTGGCTATCCATTATTCTGGCGCAGCTCGTACCCATAGGTGAGCAGCATTGCATTCACGCCTCCGAATCTGCCGCGAGACGGCTCTAATTGTCCCTCTCCTTCGCACAGACAGCGTCTCCCGCCAAGCCACATTTGATCTCACATCCCAGATCGTTCCAGGACCGCCAAAATGCCAGTCGGTCAAATCCCAGCTATCACGGGCAAGCTGCGCAAGCGCCTCATCCTCGACCTGAGCGTCGCCCTTGGTGGCGGAACAGCTCTCGGATACGCTTACTGGTGAGTGAGAGGGCGGATGAACGCATGCTGGTATTTGTGGGACGCACATCTAGGGGACGCTCTGGTCAGCAAGCTGTAGCTATGGGCGATCGATTCACAGAGCAGATGCGCTGTCTGTGCTCAACGTCAGAGAGTGTGCGCCGTGGAAGCCGCAGCTCGAGGAGGGAGTGGAACAAAGAGGCGCTGGGAAGGAAGAAGTAGCTGTAAGAGATCGGTTTTCGGTAGGAAGCGACACTTAGCTTCGAGAGAGAATGTGGGAGTGGGCATTTCTCGATCACAACTACTTCCTGGGAGACGCTCGTTCGTGGAACATGCTCAACGAGCTGACGCATCTCTTGACTGGGCAGGTACGGCATTCACATCCCATCAGTCCAGCGCCGTGACGCTTACTACGCCAAGCTGCAGTCGGAGCGCGGAGCATGAACAGGAACTTCTTCACTCGATCTTGACAAGCACTACGATGAAGAAATGTTTGGTGTAATCGATAGATACAGTTGAAAGCTCTCTGGTACACTGAGTCCGGTACTACGTAATTGCGAGAAGCGATCGGTCGAGGGCGAGCAAGAGAGCATTGAGGCTTTAGACTGGGTGAAACCATACTCGAATTGGAGCCACGGAGGAGGAGGGGATGCTTTCGAAGTTGACAACGAGCTGCGCTCGTGGTGCTCAGGCGGCTCTGGAGTCACAACATTTCAGGCTGTTCCCAGTGCTGAGACAGGGACCTGGCAAATGTGTCATTTCAAAACTGCACTTCTGGGTATCACATCAATCGTCAGGCTCTATCTCATCTGCATCGCGTATGGGCGCGTTTGAGTTGTAGCTTGCAGCTGTTGGTTCGGAATTCGTTGGTGCATTGCTCTTGATACGCCCGGGCGAGTTCTTTGGCGCGCCTCTTGAGCTGGGCGAAGGCGCGGTGGGATAGTCCCCAATATCGCCTCTTTCAGCTTCCAAGGCTGCCAATCGAGCGCCCTCTTCCCTCGCAGCTTCCTCGTCCTCCCGCTGTGTTTGTTCCCGAAAGAGATAAGCCTGAGCACAGATGAGCAGGTCTATCGAGAGAGCAAAGAGCGCGCAAATCAGAAATTGGGGCGGCGAGCCTTGCACGATGAAGTAGCCCGTCTTGAACACGTCTCCCAGCGTCCATCCTCCCAGGACAGTCAGTCTAAAGCCCGACAGAGACCTGCGACGTTGATTGCTGGAAGCGTGTTTGTGGTGTTAATGAAATGTGCGCGAGTAGCTCCGCATGCTTCCGCTCACCTAATAGCTTGCGGAATTGGTAGAGTGCTTTCAAGTCCCAGTGCGTAGTAACCCAGTATGCTGACGTACGTCTTGCTCCATCCGAGAATCATCTGCAACACGCCAAGTAGAAGAGTGTACCCAAGAAGGAATATGATGTAGCTGCCATGAGGCGAGGAATGATGCATTAGAATGGGGTCGAGTGCGGCGCCTCCGTGAGCCTCGAGACAGAGTTCCACTTACGAGGAAAGGGTTGTCCAAGTCCAAAATCCGAACGGTCTAGTTGCATCGCTTCCATCCGCTCTCAATCCTTGGCCCCTTCGCAGACTAGCCTTCAAAAGCTGCTTGACCCGGTCTAGTCGGGACACTTCCTCAGCATCGTTCTCGTCTTCACCTTCTTCCAATCCGATCGTCGGAGCAGGAGGCAGCTCAAAGTTGAGGCCCGCCAACGCAGCGTACTTTCCTCTTGTCGAGTCACCAGCGTCGTACGTCGGCTGGGGAGCAGATGTATCGATTCGAGACGCTTGCGCCGCGGTCGAGGTGGGCTTCGCTTGGCTATTCGCAGCAGATGCTGCTGAGGCTAGCGCTGCGCTGGCAGCATCAAACAATGGAGCACTGGAGCGGCTGCTCCCAGCATCCGCAGAAGAGGCGGTGAAGGACGCATGTGCGAAGGAACCAGGGCGGTAATATAGCAGAAGGGAGAGCAGGAATAACTGCGCCGCTATCATCAAGATAGACTGGAGCAGCAAAGCTTGAACGCAAGGGGGTCGAAGAGGGGGGCTGTATGTAAGGCAACCCGCAGTCTTTAGCTCGCTACCAAGAGCAGCACTTACCGAGCTCGAATGGCTCTCCTAGCCAGAAGAAGCAGCGAGCGATGTTGGAGAGCAGTAAGACAGCGCATACATCTGTATGCAAACGGTTTGTCAGCTTCCAGAGCGCGTGGAGATGAGAACTTCACTCGAGCACCACTGAAGCTCACCCTTTGAGAACCCAGAGCTGTCACGCTTCTTTTGAATACTCCAGGCTTGGTCCGCGTAGATCAAAGGCGCACCAATGGCTGCAGTTGGATGTACCAGCTCAAAGTCAGCGATCATGTGGGCGCAGAGGCAATCTTTCGGTCACGCTGCTCACCCATGCCTAGACCTGCCAAAATGCTGATGAGCGTCATGGCTTGAGTAGCCAGAGCGTTTCGGATCGTCGTAGGTCCGCTAGGAGAAGGTTCCTTTCAGCTAACTTGTTGGTGGCTCGGAGCCCAATCAAACACAAGCTTGCGAGCGTTTCTGGGTTGGTGCGGTATTCTCAGGCGTCGTTGTAGCATCAGGTCCAAATTATGTCGCCGTCTGTGCAAGGTATAGAAACCTCGTCCCGAGCGTTGCCACGGGTCAAGTGGAGATTGAAAGCTGCATCAGCGCGAAGTTCCGCTCGCCAAGCACGCTCGCGTCTCGGCCCCGCTGTTCCTTGATCTGACGCGGGTCCTGCGAGCGCACCGTCCGCCCGTTGCGCCATAGACACGCACCTGCTGACCATCACTTGGGGGCTCAACAGAAACACGGTCAGCTCGAACAATGCTGGCGGAAGATGGCTGATTGGCTCTGTAGCTGCGATGGGACTATCTTGTTGCAAAGGCAACGCGAATATGCTGCTCCATCGAGCCACAACCTTAGTCAGGCCAGGCGCCTGCACCGGGGACTCGAAAAGTTGCGATCGGCCCCACTCCTACGTAGCCAGAATGACTTCGGCGACGGGCGCCGCCGAGAGTCGTTGGACAGGTACCTTTGAGCTGGCTCGCAAGCTGAGCGAACGCTATATGAGCACTCACTTGAGGAGTGTCCAGGGCTATATGCTGTCTTTGGTCCAATACCCGACTTGGTGAAGACGATGGAGGGAGAATGCTTGCGCGCTGCACAGCTGGACTCTTGACTAGATACATGGATGCTGCCAGCGCTTGTCCAGACAAGATGGGCCACACAAGTCATGAGTGACAGCTTTCAGACTACAGCGAAAGTCAACTTCATCAAGTCAAAGATTTGCAACAGCCATGCAAGCAGTCAGTAAGTCAGCCCACGCTGATGGGCGAGCAAGCGAAACATCGAGGCGCGGCTGCTGGTGCAAAGTGCTGACCAGCAGATAGAAGACGCGCTCGCGATGTGGTCGCGCGGTTGCGACTGTTGTTGTTGCGGGGCCACGCGCAGGTAATGTGAAGGGCAGCTGTATACCTGCTGATGCCTGCGCGCTCCCTCACGATCGAGTGCCAATTCAACCGCCTGTACGACCCCTTTGGCTTATCGCGGCTCAAGCACAGCTTTCAGTTTGGGGCAGTCAAGAGTGACGACAAGTGGGCCTTGCCAATCACTGAATGCTTTTCACTCACTGCCGTTGAGTGACCTATCCCGCGTTGATCAAGCTCTGCTCTGCTCGACCAACCGCGACTCCGTCACACAGCGATTGCCCACTAAAGAACCTCACTCAGATATGACAAGCACCCTGTCGGGGGCAAGTGGTCTCTGGCAAGCTTCTCCAAGCTCATCCCTGTATGGTCTTTGACCTCAGGGCCCATCACCACCCAAGGTGCTCGAGGCACGCCCCACACCCTCTCATTCTTGCGGCTCCAAGCCACCGCCTCAAGATCTGGCTCATCTTCTGATCTTCTTTCAGCGGCGTCATCAGGCTTCGCTTTGAGGTTGCGGGCCGCTCGCTATCAATCCTTGGTTCTTGGCGCATATAGGCGGATTCTTACAGCTCATAGCGCCATCATGAACACCTTCCGACCCTCCGGTCTCGTTGGTCCCGCTCCCGCTGACCCTAGCGTTTTCTGCAATGAAGCGATCGAAGCCCAGCTTCAGCTCGAGGCATCCCCAATCGGCTCCGAGGTAGACGAGTTGCTTCAATCGCCACCGGCCTCGCCTAAGCCGAGTGTCATTCGCATCAACAGCGCGCCAATTATCGCTGTGAGCGACGTCCGATCGAGTCTCGTGAAACAGTCGGAGTCAGCTTCAATTGTCAGTCAAAGCAATATAACCCAAGGTGATTCAGAATCCACAACGAATGTCACGACCGGCGCCGCCCCTTTGGACGAGCATGTAGGATCGCACACGACTGAAAATCTGTGCGGAAGTGTCGGCTCGCCACTTGGAGACGTAACGCTGTCGAAGGTGAATCTAGATTCTCTTTCGCAGTCTTTGGTGAGCCTACGCAATCAAATCGACGCTCGCGAGCAGAGAAGTGTCAGGCGACATCGCGAGATCGTGAGCGTGCGTATCCCAGGGATGATTCGGCCTCAAACGTGCTTTCGTCGCCTGCTCACCAGCTTCTTGTATGCGCAGCTATTACGATCCTCAACCGCCGAGCACAGTAAACCACTTGGGGTAAGTCGAGACCTGAGCATGCTCGATTACAGAGTAACAATCTCATTGCTTGCTCGCTGCTCGCTCCTTATCTTCCAGAGCCGTGCAGACACAAAAGCCAGTAGTAGCATTGGACCGATCGATCCACAGCCTGCTCCTGCGCTTTCGTCGCAAGCGACGCCTCACACGAACGGCGTCATCGACGCATTTCGGGCCCAGCCGAGCATTAGGATCTCGATTTTGACCCTCTTCGATAGCAGTAGCATCAGCTTGTGTATTTCCAGGTCCGACGCTCCCTGTCCCTCCCCAGGGTCAACAAGTGCACCGGACGGCGGTCTGCCAGCTCTTGTGCCTTCTGACACACTGATCAGCGCCCTGCGCCTAACGTACGTCGATTTCCTGAAGCACAGGCACGATGCGCACACACAGCTGACACACTTTGAGCGGACACAGGTATGGCTACATTGTTGATCAAAGCGGTCTGTCGGGAAGCTCCAAGCGTGCGCTCGCGGTCAATGGAATTGTATCAGGATACACCACTATCACTAGCGGAGGTCTGGCAACATCGAGCCATGCCAACAGCGTGGGTCGAGATCCAGTTGCGGAGAACGATGGTGATATCACTCAGACGGCAGTATGTGCTCCTGAAGCCACGTCGAATGACTGGGCAAGCCCTGTCAAACCTAAAGTCAAGCGCAAGTCCGCCACGCCGAGTCGAATGGATCGCAAGGTACAGCAGAATGCAACGCTGTCCAGCACTGAAAGCAGAAAGCGCGCGAAGGGCTCGATCACTGTTGACACAAAGAAAGCAGCTGCGATCACTTGTGACCAACACGCAAAGACGTGTACTGCAGACGGCGCAGAGAGCTTCGGACCAGCGGTGTTCTCGCAGCACACGCACGGGCTCACGGTGCGTCCTCCTTGGGCAGAGGAGGCCGCTTCCAACATCATGGCTCCCCGCAGTGCTCCTCCTACTCGAACTGCTCCTGCGACAAATTCCGTCCTCCCAAGCTTTAACGCCTTCGAGCCCAACGGCCCTTCGCCATTAGCAAGTCTGGCAAACGACCAGAGCGTCACCGTAGCACAGGCCTGTGCAACCTCTGTGCCTGCTGCAGACTTGGATGCAAGCCAGCGCGCGCATTCAGATCTCGAGGGCGTGCTCGAGGCCCACAACTTCCGCGCCATGTCAACGGACCAAAAGATTGAATTCTTGTTCCTCATCTCTGTGCGCGAGCGACTCTTGTTTTGGCAGACTCGCAGAGGCCTAGATCAGCAACTTGCGGAAGCGGTCGATCAGCGTGCTCGTTTGATAGATGAGAAGAACGCTGCTCAGCGACAATTCAGTCAGTACGTACGCGAGGTAAGTGGTATGACCATAGTTGCACCCTGAGTCACAATCATTGCTTGCTAAGCCTCTGCAATGCTCCAAGGCGCAAAGCATTGTGGGACAACTTCGCACCACTTTGCAGTCCAAGGACCAGGAAATTGAAACACTTCGCAACGAACTGCACTGCCGCAATCTGACCATGCCTATGGGTCCAAGGCCTACTAATGAAGGGTCGCTCATGTTGTCGCAAACCAGCATCGTACCTATTTTCGCCCCAACTCTCCCGTTGTACGCACCCGGTCATGCTCATGCCGCTCATCAAACACCAGGTCAAGCTCAAGCACGCAAAGAAGCGTTGCGCGAGTTGTCTCCTGTGTCAGGGCATGCAGGACACAAGGCACTTCCGGCGCCACAGCAGGCGAGTAGCCTTGCGCACTGGCTTTGAGAATCAGGACTACAGCAACTGATGCTGAATCGATTTTTTTCTCCGCGGATTAGCAGCACTGATGAAGCAAGCACAAACGGAACGCAATGCGTCTGCACCCAGTCATGCAGCAGTAGCGATCCAAAGCCCGTCGGGACAAGCAAGCCAATTTGCGCCTCGCTTCGGGCGAGCTCGACGCAACCTGTGTAAATTAGCACAATGTACCGCTACAAGCCTGACAGAACCTTTCCAATCCCACATAGGACGTTTACCCAACCCGCGTATTGCACGCGCACCACATCAGCGAGTCGCTCCTCGCTCCACTCCCCTACTTCGCTCGCACTCAAGTTCCCCACATTGTATCCCGACGACTTTTCTGTCGTCTCTGCGATCGAGCGTCATCAAACGCGCCAGAAGCAGCGATGCTCGCGCAATTCATAGGTTCATACGTGCTCAGCAGCAAAGATTGCAGTCATCGTTCGTGTTCGGCAAGAACACAGGAGTGGCGTTGGTCGAGAGGATCATGTAGAAAAGTAGTGGCGTCCAAGAACGGCGTGAGGGTAAGGTAAAGGGCCGACGAAGTAGCATGCACAAAGCCAGACAATCTGAATGAGAATGGAAGACATGGAAAACAAAGAGGAGCAGGAGCTGGCTCTGCGAGTCATGAAGGAAAGGGGAAGGATTGGGGTGGGTAACGTTGAAAAGCCACGGTGCCTGGCCTGCTGTGAAGTGTTCGGAGGTGATGGAACAAAATGGCTCAGTTGACTACGGAAAAAAGGGAAAATAAAGACGTGTGAGCAAGTGATCAGGTAAGAATTTGACTTTTTACTACTCACTGCGCTTGATGGGGTGCAAAAGGACTGGAGCTCTGCAAACTGATTCCTTCGCCTTCCAACCGACGTAGACTATGAATCGACATTGAGCTCGTCAGCCATCCCGCAAGTAACTTCGCACCGGCAAATGGGCCTCTCTTCACTCACTCTCTTTGGCATGTGCACCATCGTAGTAGAATGCCGAATCTCGCATAATTTTCTCGTTTGCCTTCTTGTAAAAGTCGGGTCTGTTGATTCTTGAGTGCAGCACTTCGGGATCCCAGTAGTGTCGGAAGTAGACGGGGTGAGGTGCAAAGACACCCTTGAAAGGCAGGGGCAGATTGTGTGTGAATCCAGCCTCGGGGTAGAAGGAGTGATCGTGCGAAATTGGTAATTGCGAATGCAAGACGAGCGTCGTCGGCCACGCTTCGCAATGCAGTGACTTTTTCGCTTCCGCATTAACCACGTTCATAGCATCCAACAGTGACCTGGACATGCGCATATTTGTGCCGATCGATGCGCGGCGGTGAGTTGCCTCTCCCTTCGGATAATTTTGCACATCGTACTCCCAGAACCAACCGCTTCCACGGGGATCAAAGACGGGACCAAGAGTGATGAGATCCGCCTCATCGCCTCTTCCATCGATCAACGTGGCATTGTCCCGCCAGTTCTCCTCGCTAACGCTGACGTTGCGCACGAACCAGCTATCATACTTGTCCATGCCCACGTGCAGAGGTTCCTTTCGGGAGTACTCTTCGATACCTTCAAAGTAGTCCAGGTAGTTGCCAATATATCTGACATCCATCTCCCAATTCCAAACAAAGTCGTACTCTTGGTGGTCGAGATAGAACTTCTGGAGCGCCATCAAGCAGCTGCGGTATGAGCTGCAAGGGGGGCAGAGTAGTGTACGCGTCAGCGTCCGGACCAACATGCGTCACTTCGTCCCACTCACCTCTGCGCAATCATGTGGTTGAGGAACTTCCCAGGCAGTCCTGGGTACAGAGCACACATCTCGTCCTCCGTCCATAGCTCCACCATACCCCAGAATTCGCGTGGAACGCTCGACCTCAGCACATTCAAGCGGTCCCACTCCGACGTAAAGACGGATAGGTGGCGGCCATGCACCTCGACCAAAATTCTGATGTCGTAAGGTGTGTTGGGGTTGTTCAGAGAAAGCTCGCCAATCAGAGCTCTCATATTGAGGATATCGTCCTCGCGCCACACGTAGCCCTCATAAGCACGCATGACAAGCGCTGTTCGCTTAGTCTCTGGTGTAGTCTTGAACTTGGCGGGAATGTCTTCGTCCATCATCTCTTGCGCGATGACGTCTGCAAGGGGCTGCGAGGTCGGATCGTAGGGGTCCACTCCAGCCGCTCGTCCACGCTCGCGTTCACGTTTCTCGAAGCAGGCGTCCATGAGAGCGCGCCAGTCTGGGAAAGAGATTGGGCCCAACTCTTCGGATCGCAAGTTCGCCCTCCACGTCCGGTCACGCAAATATCTTTCCCAATCACCCTCGTGCCAGTTTGCCGGCTTCTGAGGACCATACAGCGGATCCGTATTGTTGAAGGGCGCGATTTTGGTTGCCTTGGCATGACTAGCCGTGGTCGTCGATGATCCGGAGGACGAAGACTTGTTGGCAGGCCTCCTCTGCCTGCTCGAATTTCCGCTCTTTCCCTGACCTCCAAAGGCTCCTTGACCTCCTGTGATAGCAGCGCCATTGCTCGCAGTACTTGCAGTTGGCTTCAAGTTGTCGGGATCATCGTCGTACAGAGCGGCTTTTTTCCTCTTGGTCTCCTCCATCTCCTCATCCAGGTCTTGGCGATATGTGATGCCAAGAGCGTCGTCGGTGTACATGGAATACCTATCCCTGTAGGTCAGGCACTTGCTGTTGTCCAAGTTGACAAGCTTGTAGTCACCAACCAAGGGAATGGGATGTGTCTCGGGGGTCTTGTAGTACTTGAGAGGGGCGCGGGGAATGGGCATGCCAGCCTTGGGTCCTGGGCAGGTGGACAGGGAGATTGGCTGAATGGGCCGGCTCTGGTGGCCAGACGCGATCTCCTCATGTGCGCCTCCCGGGTGTGGATGAGCAGGTGAGAATTGAGGATAGGGATCAACTCTGCAAGCAAGATTGGAAGGAGCGATCAGCACAGCGCTCAGTGTCGCGATATCCGAACAACCTCGTGTCCCTCGAAACGTGGCGGCGCACTGCGTTCAGGTCACGGCCTTCCCAGCGCAGCATTCGGCCTCGCTGCACGGATGCGAGGCGCGAATCTCTTGCTCTGGCCCCGACAACCTTGCAAGACGAACAGGCTAGATTGAGCACGCCTTGACCACTCACCTGTAGTATGTCATCTCTCGCCATTCTGTCCACATAGCTCCGAACATTCCAAAAGCAGCGAGAGTGCCAAAGGCGACCACAAAGATGACTGTCTTCCATCTCCTCAACAGCAAGCCAAATATGCTCTTGAGGACCATAAGAGGAAACAAGATTCCACCCTTGCCTTGCCCCGATCTGCCCAGGTCCAGCGAAAACCCTCCCTTATCGCCCGACCCGCTTGATGGGCCTGGCATTGGTACTGATCCGCCGTGAGGCGGTGAGCCTGGCCTGGAACTGGGTCTAGATGTGGAAGGCGTTTGGGGTACTTGATGAAATCTGTATGGAGGTGGGGCCGTGCCTGATGGACTTGGCGGTGACAGGAAACCTTTTTCACCTGACATTACGCGGGCCGCACCGAGCCTGGAAGTAGCCTATAGCTATCGCTTCGCTTGCCGAAACAGCTATTCGTGACCTCGTTCCTGCGATGCTCCGTTCAGCTCCTCAAAAGACTGGCCCTCCCAGGATCGTTTCGGCCCGGAGCGTAGATCCGTTGTTGGCGAGCCTTAGGACTATACACGGATTGCAGTTGGAAAGACGCGATGAATCATTTGGCGCACATGGCGCGATACGGAAGTGATAACGAGGAGCGGAGAGGGGCAGCCAAAGACAGACCAGCAATCGAATGTCAGTACCACGTAGCACCTCCGAGCTTCGGATGAATGCGCTTGGAAAAACAGACTCGTGACTGGTGAGGGCAAGGGACGGAGCGAGCGTGATCGAGAGAATTCTCTCGAGCCGTGCGCACCCTTGGCGTCCGAGCACCGGCGTCAACAATTTGATCCGCCCACGCGAGGCACCGCACCTGGGTCTTGCTCGCACCCAGCATATAGCTTCTGTCGCGATCGCGAGCAGCCCTTGCTCCAGCCTTGGCCAGCACCCTGACCTCCTCAGTCCAAGCCAGCGGAAGCTCCTCCCGCCTACAGTCTATGGGCCTAGGCCACCCCCCGATGCAACACGCGAGCATCGACTCCCAGTGCAACACAGGAACCATCAAGACAGCAAGCGCGGAACAGTTCTCGAGTAGCAGATAGGTAGAAGACAGAAGCGGCGACTCACGCGAAAAAAAGGTTGGGCGTTCCTATGGCAGGATGCAAACTTCTTGGAGTGCTGTCTGTCGCTACCGATGAGGTGTTTGGAAGGCAGGCGAGCGAGTAGCCAAAGGGATGAGAAGAGCGAGCGAATGAATGTCCAAGCGGGGATAGGTACGAAGGAAAGGTGCTCTGCACGGCTTTTGAGATGACCCTCTTCACTCACGACTGCCGAAAGGGCTCGAGTGTGCATAAGGGCCCGAAGGCTGCAGGTGTTTGGCGTCAGCACAGAAGCGGCTTCTGAGCGGCAAGAGGAACATAACATATACGTGAAGGGTGCGGTTGACTAGGTGCGGCCCCGACTTGAACAATTGCCAGAGGTCAGGTTATTCTCAGCCATTAAAAAGTTCAATTCCCGATTAAGGCC